CTGCTTCCCTCCTTCTGCCATGGCAACGGCCTCCTCGTCTCCTGCCATCTCCACCGCTGCCAGCACAGGCTTCAGAAGCACCCATCTTCCCGGGTCACTCTGCTGAGCCTCAGGGTGGTTCGAGCTCGTTGCCCTGTAGGGTGCAGTTGAAATTGCTGGAGTTGACCTGTGAGACCAGGAGCTTGCGGCTCGAGCGCTGACCGACCTTCCCTCCGGGAGCCGTGCCGTTCCTGCGCCTGCTTGGCCTACTCTTGCCCATCCACCAGCTTCAGCTTCCACATCACCTCCTCAGGGAGGCCTTCCCTGCTCCCCACACCTGTGGCCACTTCCTGCCGCTGGGCTCTGCTGGCACTCGTGCGCCTCCTCTGCAGGCCTCCCGGCAGGTGTGGTTATATCTGTAGTGTTGTTTTCTGCCTGGCTGTCTGCCTGGTTCACAGCCCGGCGCCTGGCACACTCCCCACTCCTCGCCAACGGAAGACTGGACCCGATGGCAGGTTGTTGCTGTGCTCGGAGCCAGAGGAAGGCAGGTGTGGGAACTTCCCCGGCCCTCCCAGGGTCGCTGGTGCTCTCTTCTTTGTGGTCATCTTTACTGATCAGGGTTTTCTTTTCCCAGAAGCCACTGAGTCAGGTGCCATATAGAGCATGTCAAGAACTTGAAGCCAGGCCAGGCACAGTGGCTCACACCTGTAATCTCAGCACTCTGGGAGGCCAAGTGGGAGAATCTCTTGAGGCCAGGAGTTCAACACCAACCTTTGTAATGTAGTGAGACCCCTTCTCTATAAAAAACAATTAGCCAGGCATGGTGGCACACAACTGTAGTCCCAGCTGCTCCGGAGGGTAGGGTGGGAGAGTCGCTTGAGTTCTGGAGTTGGAGGCTGCATTGAGCTATGATCACGCCACTGCACTCCAGAAAAAATGAAAATATTAAAAAAGAACTTGAAGCCAGGACTTGGGGTGGGTGCTCTGCTTGCAAAACACAGAAGATGCTGTTATCCAAGGGGTTGAAGCAGATTCGGGGATCCTGGACTTCCCCCTGCATGGGCAGGACGTGGGACTCATGAAGCTGGTGTGAGCCTGGCCCTCTGCCCCGGGGGCCTTTCTGCCAGGTCCCTGGACCGGCTGACTCACATCCTCTTCCTTACCCAGCAGAGTCGCAGTTGCTGATCGTCGTGCTTGAGCAGAGCCGTGGTTGGTGACAGCATGACGAGCGAAGTGATAGAAGACGAGGAGCAGTTCTATTCCAAGGCCAAGACGTACTGGAAGCAAATCCCGCCCACAGTGGACGGCATGCTTGGGGGGTATGGCCGCATCTCCAGCATCGACATCAACAGCTCCCGGAAGTTTCTGCAGAGGTTTTTGAGGGTAGGCAGGTCTGGCGTGCTCTCCAGGAGGAGAGGCTGTGGCTCTGGTGGCACTGCCGAGTCTGTGTGGGATGCCACCTTTCACATGTAACACTGCAGGGCCATTGGCTATCTCTTGGTACCTACCCCAAGGCCTTGAGGAGCTGGGCTGGGTGGGCACACTGGGGTCTCTTCTAGATTGTGGACTTAGCCTCAAGGTTACCAGACAGGAGTTGGCTCTTAGGCAGAATTGAGGTGTACGAATTGGGCAAACTTCTCTGCACCTGTTGGGTTTTGCCAGGGAGGAAACCCCTGCTCTCCTGCCATGTCCACAGGTGTTTGGGCTGAGGGTGTTGGCCATTCTGGATGAAGACTCCTAGCTACATGCCATGGTTTCCACCCCTCCCCTCCACCCCCAGCCTTTTCTGTACCAGGCTGGGACCCCCAGGCCCGGAGCCTCCCACCTCCTTGTCTCTCACGGCTGGCACCGGAGGCTCTGATCGCCAGCTACTCCACCCAGTGCCTCCCCCTCCACGTTCCCTCCCTGCACCCTTGTTCACCAGTTGCCCTGCCTCCATTCTCCCTGCTCTGCTCTGCCCTCCCGTCATTTACCTGGAGACTCAGGAGAGATTCATGCACCTGTCCAAGTTACCACCTTCAGGTGGAAATGAGCTTTCATTTTAGAAATATGTGGCCCAGGGCTGGGGCGGTGGCTCACTCCTGTAATCCCAGCACCTTGGGAAGTCAATGTGGGAGGACTGCTTGAGCCCAGGAGTTTGAGACCAACCTGGACAACAGAGTGAGGCCCCGTCTCTACAGAAAATCCCCGCCCCCCCAAAAAGAAAGAGCTGGGCATGGTGGCACATGCCTGTAGTCCCAGCTACTCAGTGGGAGGATGGCTTGAGCCCAGGACTCCAAGGCTGCAGTGAGCCATGATCGCACCACTGCACTCCAGCCTGGACAACAGAATGAGATCCTGTCTCTACAGAAAGTTTCAAAGATAAAGGAAGGTGTGGCCCAGCAGTGTGTCCTACAGGCTCATCCTCTCAAATCAGGACTTGGTGCAAGCTGGCAGCCAGCACAGACCTCCCACCAGTGCTTGGCTTGTGCAGTTCTGACTTGAGTCTAAGCCCCAGGGCTCCTGAGGAAGGGCCCTGTGTGCGGTGACAGGGTCCCTCTAGGTTATGTCCCTCTGATAGGTTATATGCCTCTGCTTTTTAGGAAGGCCCGAACAAGACAGGAACTTCCTGTGCCCTGGACTGTGGAGCAGGCATTGGGAGGATCACCAAGCGGCTGCTCCTGCCGCTGTTCAGAGAGGTGGATATGGTCGACGTCACGGAAGACTTCCTGGTTCGAGCCAAGACTTACCTGGGGGAGGAGGGCAAGAGGGTGAGGAACTACTTCTGTTGTGGGCTCCAGGACTTCACCCCAGAGCCCGACTCTTACGACGTGATCTGGATCCAGTGGGTGATAGGTGAGGGTCCCACCGCCTTTCCCTGCCCACCTGTCTGTCTCCTGCCCCTCGGGTTCCCCAGAAGGTGTCAGGGACCGGGGCTCTGTGCTTCTGCAGCAAGTGGGCCAGTGAGGATTCCCCGATCCCCCCATGCCCACCCCCACCCCGTGCTTCCCAGCACCGAGGACAGACTCGGCCTGAAAGGTAGATTTCCTCCTTCAGGTTTTGCTTCATCCATCTGGGTGCAGTTTTTTGTTGAAAAAGCTTTAATGGCCAGTAACTTACTGCGTTCAGAGAAGTGCAGGTGTTTCATAAGGGTTTTATTTTTAGTAAGACGAAAAGTTGAAGCTTTGGTATCTAGCCCTGTACCCTCTTAGCCTAACGGCACACCTCGAGTGCTGTGCCCTGGGTTGCTGACCGGAGGCAGGCCACTCCTGAGGCGGCAGCACAGGCCTGCTGTGGACACTCTAGGTCTGGCCTTGTATTTTGTGGCCTCAGCGGCCACTGTGGGGACTTCTAGGGTGGAGAAGGTCATCTGTCTGGGAGCCCCTGCAATGCCAAACTCTACCCGGGGTTCACTCCTCTGATTGAAGCCTGGTTGGGGGATGGGGGAGTCATGGTGTGTAGGTATCAGGCAGGGCTCGGAAGTCACCCCAGCAAGTTAAATTCTGGCTTAATGTGTGTCTTTAGAGAGATGACCTCTGAACCAGTTTCCTCTTCTATGGAATGGGGTTTAGTAAACCTGTTGGGACTGCTGAGAGCCAGTGAGGCCATGAGTGCACATAAAATGCTGGGCACCGACAAAGGGCTGAGTGGGGCTGGGAACTACATCCCATCCAGTGGGCGACATAACGCTTGCATCGTGCCCGGTAACCTTGCCTCTGCCCTCCCCAGGCCACCTCACCGATCAGCACCTAGCTGAGTTCCTACGGCGCTGCAAGGCCAGCCTCCGCCCCAACGGTATCATCGTCATTAAAGACAACATGGCCCAGGAGGGCGTGATCCTGGATGATGTGGACAGCAGTGTGTGCCGGGACCTGGACGTGGTCCGCAGGATCGTCTACAGCGCAGGCCTCAGCCTCCTGGCCGAGGAAAGGCAGGAGAACCTCCCTGATGAGATCTACCACGTCTATAGCTTTGCCCTGAGATGAGCCGGGGCTGGCAGGAGGAACTGAGGAACCACAGCTCGGGTGGGGGGAGCTGGCAGCTGGGCAAGATCCAGGCGCCATGCTGGCGGTTCATGAGTGTCAAGGCGCCACTAAATATAGCTGTCTGCCGTCCACTCATTATGCAGGCTTTTCTTCAGAAGGCAAGGTGGGACCTGGTGGGGAGGGTGAGACGGGAGCCCAGGCCCCTCTGCCCTGTGAGATGGGGTTGGGTGGTAGGGGCTCCAGGTCCCTCTATGCGGGAATACGGTAGTCACACCAGTAGCCGATTTCCCGGGCCCCCAGCCTGGCCTTCCAGCCATGGGCCTGGCTGCCTGAAGAGGAAGGGAACAACCCCCAGCTTGGTTGTTGGGGACTTGAAGAAATGTGGTCTTTACCTAGGGGGACGGACAGAGCTGGGCTGGTGGAACCCATGGGTGCTGCCCGATGGTGATGTGGTTGGGGTGCTCACATGCCAAGTCCTATTTGGCAGTGGAGACCTGGGGACTTTAGAGCGTTACAGCAGCCTGCAGCAAGGGAAGATGCCCATAGCCTCACTCTTCTCTGGGCTTGAGGCTGCTCCCTGACAGGCATTTAAAGTAAAAAATAAAATGGGGGCTGGGCACTGGCTCACGCCTGTAATCCCAGCACTTGGGAAGGCCAAGGTGGGCGGATCACCTGAGGTCAGGAGTTTGGGACCAGCCTGGCCAACATGGTGAAACCCGTCTACTAAAATACAAACATTAGCCAGGTGTGGTGGCGGACACCTATAATGCCAGCTACTCAGGAGGGTGAGGCAGGAGAATCGCTTAAACCTGGGAGGCGGAAGTCGCAGTGAGCTGAGATCGCGCCATTGCACTCCAGCCTGGACAACAGAGTGAGACTCTGTCTCAGAAAAAATAAAAATAAAATGGGACCCCCACAGTGTGGGGCCCTGGCCAGTCTGGAGTGGTGCTTCTTTGCAAAGACTTGGAAACAAACCCCAAACACAGCTTCTCCTCTCATCTGCCGCCTCCTACCTTACCCACTGCCGTGGGACCTTTTATCCTGATACACAAGGACTGTTAAGGCCAAAGTCCGTTTAATCTTATAAATATGTCACGTAGTCGCCTCAGTTATCCCCAGAGGCATTTACACCATCCACAATGACCAACGCAACCTGGAAGGGACTGAGGGCTCGCTGCTGGGCAGTACAGTGGGCTCAGCCTGCTCCAAAGTGAGTGCCTCACAGGAGACCCTTCAGAGGGCTGGCCCCAGCCGCGTACTCATGATTGCTTTTTAGCAGAAGTCATGGTCGCTGAGGCCCTGGGTTTGGCACAAGCACAGCTGCCCCCAGAGCACAGTTCTGGTGGGTGGGGCCATGGCAGACCTGGCCCCAGAGTGACAGCAACCAGCGGGGGACAGCTTGGCTTTCAATACCATGAAGACAAGCCTGTGGTGGCCCCTAGTGCCTTCTCCCCCAGAACCCACCAGACACACACTGTAACAGAACCTGGAAGGAAAAGGGGCAGGGGTGAGGCCTTGCTGGCAGCCCCGCGCAGGCTTCCTGACCTCCAGCTGTACTGCCATCCGTAGCAAACGAGATCCCCGCAGCCCTGGGAACGTTGAGCCTTGGTCCCGCCCAGCTTCTGCAAATGCCCTGGTGCTGCCCTCCAATTCAGAGGACATAAATATGACTTAAATCTAAGCCCTGTCCCTTTTTCCAACATGGGTGAGACTTGGGAGTGCCGCTGGGGGAAGGGGCAGTCTCTGGAAGACACGGAGCCACACCACCACTGGAGTCATCACAGCCTCCAGCTCTGCCTGGCTGGCTTTTCTCGTGAAGGATCCCGTCTCTTCTCCCAGATCAAGAAAGATCCTCCTCTAAGGTTGTCCCAGGTTCCACCACCAAGCTGACCTAAGCTGCCCATGCCCCCATTCCTGTAGCCTGAGACCTGTCAGATGTCATCTTCCATGGTGCCACTGTGCTCGCTAAGAAGGTACCACTTCAGCCTGTCGGGCAGAGGCAAGGCTTTGACCTTCACGTCCACAGGCCACGGCTGAAGGTAGAGCCGGATGGACACACGGCACAGGTGCTTGAGGGGCGGGGGATAGCTCTCCAGCTGCCTCAGGGAGTAGTGGAGCGCCTGGATCTTTTCTGCCAGGCTGCCCACAGGGTGGATATCGAAGTTTTCAGGCAGCTGGAGTTTCTGAGAGTTGGTCACCATGAGGTCCAGGACAGTCTCAGCTTTGCGCAGAAGGTCCGCGTGGCTCTCGTCTTCCGTGCAGCCTGGGTGGGAACAAAGCCTGTCGAAGATGATGTGGAAGCCGGACCAGCAGGACGCGCCGTGCAGGGAGCAGTTGTAGGCGGCTCCGGACTCCAGCAGGAAGCGCAGGAGGGGGAAGTGCAGTTTAAAGCTCTTGAGGCAGATGTGGGTGAGGGACTCGTGGGCCGGGCACTCACTGGGGTCAGCCCCGTGCGCCAACAGCAGCCGTGTGACTTGGAAGCAGAAGCGGTTGATCATCTGGGCCTCCTCTTTGTCCCCTCCCACAGTCTCACCAAGCAGGAAGATGATGCAGGTGAATACCGTGTCCCCATCTTTGGTGGTGGCCTTGACATCGGCCCCTAGAAGAGCCATAGAACAAGAGATGCTGGGAGAAGGCCTGCAGCCCTGACACAGCGGCAGCACACACTAAAGGGGCAGGGACAGCCCGCAGACTGAAGTGCACACGACAGGTGAGGGGACAAGGCCTCGGAACGCGCCCGCCTCACCTCCTTCCAGTAGGAGCCGGATGTTCTCAGTATTGTGGATCTGCACCCCGTCACTGCTGGCCAGAGCGTGGAGCAGAGCGGTCTTTCCTAGGGAGGGAGGAAGGGAGAGCGAAGAGGAGCGGGAGGCCAGGAAGCCCCAGTCAGGGCAACCCAGACACAGAGCATCAGAAGATGAACTTTCAGAGACAGCTCTCAGCTTGGGGGAGGGCTGAGGGTGACGGGCTGCTGGCCATTCCCTTTCCACCCAGAGAAGTGGGAGTGGAAAGGCCAGGAAAAATAGGATTTTTCAGGACCCAAGTGGCTACCTGAGATGCGGGCTGGGCCTCTCCTGCCAGGCAGCCATTGTTTCTTGGAAGCTAAACGCACACACATACCCTATTTCTTCCTATAGACGGCCCTTGAGGGCCAGCACAGGGACAATGACTGCACTGCCTCTCGAAAGCCTAAGCTCAGCAAGTCGGCAGAATTCCCATGTGCCCAGCTGTGCTGTGCCACCAGCCAGGGCCAGCATCCAGCCTGCCCACCTAGCTGTCGTCCTGGCACACCCTGGGGGTCCCCCACAAGGTGCCTGGGGGCCCAGCTGTCCTGCTTTCCTGCAGGAGGCACCCACCATGCTTGTCAGCAGCATTGACGTCCGCTCCAAGGTCCAGGAGACGCTGCAGGCAGGGCAGGCGCTCAGGCTCCTCGCTGGCCAGGTCCAAGGGGCTACTCTCATGGATCTGAGCCAAGCAAGCACAGCCAGGTTGGCCTGGGAAGCTGCTCAGGCCCCCGCCCCCCAACTTCAAAGCAGGCTGAACTGGCACTCACCCGGTCCCGCCGATTAATGTCGGCCCCGTGATGCACCAGCAGCTCCACCATGTCCGGCTGGTTCCGCAAGACGGCAATGTGCAAAGCCGTGTAGTAGGTGACTGGGTCTGAAGGTGCAGATGCAGCTTGTGTGGGTCCTGCCTCTCCACATTCTCATGGGGCCCCCGACCCAGAGCCCAGCCCCACACTCACACCTCAAGTGTCCAGAAGCCACAGGCCCAGGCTCCTGTCACCATCAAGGGTTAGGACAGAGCTGTCTCACCAGATACCAGAGGGCCCTTGGGATGTTCTAGTGGGCACAATACTTAAGATGTTGGGGCTTTAGTTTCCTCTTCTGTAAGAGGGGACCATAAAACGGGGCACCCTCTCAGGATGGCTGGGAGCCGTATTAGGCTGCAGCTCCGTGGCTACCCCACTCTGTAGGCCTGGTAGTAACAGCCAGGTTCTCCAAGCTGGTCTCCAAGGCACTGGCTTCAGAACCCGCCCTCCCGTCTCAGCTCCTTGACCCTCCAAGAGCCCAGCAGCCTCCAAGCCTGTCTTCGGATGGGGAAAGGAGATGTGCCTGGTGGCATCAGGCCCCCAGGAGGTTACAAGGCAGCCCTGCCTGGCTCCTGACTAACCCTGCCCTCCCTGGGGTGAAAGCCAGAGAGAAAGGTGCATGGCTCCATCTCCACCCCTGGCACTCAGGAGCCAGAGCCAGCATGTCCTGCCGTGACTGTGGCCTGTTTTTCCCTCTCTCTATGGCATGAGAAAAAAACACAAACTGACTCAGAGTTAAGTGGCAGAAAATTACCTTCCCTTAGCTCTGGGCACAGTGCCAGCAGCCACATTTTCAGGTTAATGGAAGTGGGGATTAATCTGGGAGCTGGGGAAAGTTTGCTAATCAATCACACAGTAGAAGCAGCAACACTGGCTCTTGGAACAGAGGTGGGAAGAGCCATGTGAAAACCCGCATGGTGTGGGAAGCCACACGATGGGAGTTTCCTTAGTTGCTGCCACCCAGGAAATAAACTGTGGGGGAGGAAGTCATTCCTCAGAACCCGAGGCTGGAGACATGGGCGCCCACTCAGCACAGGGCCATGTTTAAGCCGCCTCCCCACCCCCGGGGCTCTAGCTGACCTTCAAAGTTGAGATTGGCCCCATGCCGCAGGAGAACGTCGGCAGCTCGTGTCAGCCCCAACTCAGCCATCTTGAGCAGGGCGTTGCTCACGCCTTCCTGGTAAAAGGGAGAGTGGGCTTTCCTCTCCAGCAGCTCGGTGAGAACAAGGATTCGGCTCTCCTCGCTGGTGACATAACTGGGTCTGCGGCAGGACAGAGGCTGAGGGTAGGCACAGCTGTGGGACCCGCTGACCGGGCAGCCTGTGGGTGCGTGGCCTTTGGTGTCCTGCTGCAGTCAGCAAGCAGGGGCCCGGCTCTGTGGGGCACGGAGGCTTGGGAGAAGCTCTGAAGTAGAGAGGGCCAGGTGCATCTCTTAAAGACGGGAGCAGACTCGGATTTGCAGAGAACGGGCTGGGCCTGTCTGCTGTCTCCTCCCAAGCTGCCCAGAGTCTGGTCCCAGGCTTGGGTACAAAGCCTCACACACCTGGGCTGCTGGGACTGAAGGGAACCCTGGAGGCCAAGAGCCCAAGGCCGACTCTGACTCTCCCTCCCCAGAAAGCCCTTCGCGCTCAGAGCTGCAGGACTGCAGCCCCGGCAACCCCCGCGGCCAGGACAGCAACGCGGCGTCCTCCCTCCCCTCACACTGAGACCTTTAGCTGATATTGATGAAGAACGCCAACGTTTCCACCAGAGTCCCTGGATGGAGAGACTCATCATAACCACATGCTGGAAATTCCAGCTGACATCCCCCCAGCACCGGAGCGCCCTTCCCGCCGCGCTCTCCTCCCTTCCACCTCGGGCGCCGCTGCAGTCCCTCCACTGCAGCCCCCGCGCCAGGACGGCGGGGCCTTTGCTGAGCCGCTGGTGGACCCCAGGCGCCCAGTACCCTGGGCAGTGAAGGCGGAATCGCCCCCGACACCCTTCCCGCAGGCCCACGATAGACCAGCTCTTGTCTAGGAAGGTGCAAACTGCTACAAAAGCCCCCCTTTGCACTGCTCTGAGGCCTCGCGGCTTCCACCCTGCTCCCCTGCCAGGACCCGAGCGGGGGGTGGCACAGGACGGGCAGGCGACAGGGTGGGAGCTGAGGCGGAGGCCCTGCGACACCCGCGAGCCCCCGCCCTCGAGCCCTCCCTGCCCTTCGCCGCCGGCTTCCGCCCGTCCCTTCCTCTGTCAAGCGGGTTCCCGCGGGGTCGGAGCGGCCTCGGCCAGCCCACGGGAGGGGACGAGTTACCGGTCCAGGGACTCCTGCCGCTCGGGGTCCTGGATCCCCAGGGAGCCCAGAATCGCATCCACCAGCGGCTGGTACTCGAAGATGATCCTCCGGAAGCCGTGGAGGAACGGCATCGCCGCGGGCCCCGCGCGGTAGGGCGGCTGCGCTTTCCGCCGAGGCCGAGATGCCCAAACGCGGACCAGAGCGCTGCAGCGGCCACGGACCCCACCTGCTCCGCCGCTCCAGTCCCTGCGCCCGGCCGGGTCCCTACCTCAGCCCAAGCCGCGCCCCCGCCGGAAGTGACCCTCGCACTTCCGGCCTGCGTCCGCTCAGGGCAGAGCGCGTGGCCACAGCGCCCCCTGCCGGCTCGGAGGACCTCGGCGCGTCTCGGAGGGCGGCCGGGAGGCGGACTGGGTCGAGGTCCAAGGGGGCGGCTCCAGTGGAGTCGAGGTCGCGGACCCGAGCCAAGCCCGATCCGAGACCGAGGCGGGCCCGCCCCTTCCTGCCAGGACCCGGCCCGGCCCGGCCCGGCTTCTCCCTGCGATCCCGCCCGCGGCCGCTGGGCGCCGTCCGAGTTCCGCCGCTTGTGCCCTCCGGCCCTGCCGCTGCCCCACTCCCGTTGGGCGCCTCTGAGCGCCGCGCTCATCAGCCACTGCCCCTTCCGGCTCGCCCGGCTCTCGCCTTCCCTGAGGAGGGGCCGGGCCACCTCTGTCACCACCCGGCCCGCTGACTGGAGTGAGGAGGACCAGGGTCCCCGCGTGTCCCGTCCTCAGTTCCTTATTCTCTGTCCCAGGGAGCACGTGGCCAGGCCGGCTGCCAGCCCTCTCCACTTCTGCCCCGATGGACTCAATGCATCTTGTGTATTTTTTAGAGGCAGGGTCTCGCTCTGTCGACCAGGCTGGAGTGCAGTGATCACGACTCACTGCAGCTTCCACCTCCTGGGCTCAGGCGGTTCTGCCGCCTGAGAAGCTGGGAGCACGGGAGTGTGGTACCTCCTGGCTCTGAATTTGGATTTCCTCGTCTGTAAAATGGGTATAATCCCCAGCACTTTGGGAGGCCAAGGCGGGCGGATCACCTGAGGTCAGGAGTTCCAGACCAGCCTGGCCAACAGGGTGAAACCCCATCTCTACTAAAAATACAAAAAAATTAGCCAGGCGTGGTGGCACGCGTCTGTAATCCCGGCTACGTGGGAGGCTGAGGCAGGAGAATTGCTTGAAACTGGGAGGTGGAGGTTGCAGTGAGCAGAGATCGCACCACTGCTCTCCAGCCTGGGCAACAAGAACGAAACTCTATCTCAAAAAAAAAGATATAATCACACTCACCCGAGATCCTGGAGCCAGTGCTCTGTAAGTGTCCGTGGAAGTGGAGTCCATCAGGAAGGAACCAAAACCCTCTGGATGAGGAAGGAGGGGGGAGTGGGCAGCCGGGTTGAAGCCCCCGAGGGCCGCACCAGCTTGGGCTTCCTAGAAGCAGCTCCAGGCCCAGGGTCCGCGGCTCCCAACACAGTTCTGCCTTGGTTCTCGCCGCAGGAAAGAAATATCTTCTCCCTGAGTGAAATCGGGAAATTCTCCTCACATGCAAGTGGAGACTTCCCGCTTGCCTTGGAAAAAACACTTTTCTGGAGTGAAGGTACCCCCTATCCCGCCACGATGTGAGCCTCCTCTACCACCTAGAGTCTGCACGGAGCCTTGACGTCTTCTTGGTCCTGGGAAGCCGAGGATGAAGGGGGCTTCCCCCGCCCCAGCCGCCCACATCACAGTGCTGGCCCCCGGGACCTCACTCCCCTAGGTTGGGTGCCTCTCCCTGGCACCTGCCAGACAGTGACAGTTGCCCAGCCCAGGAAAAAACATTTAAAGGCGCATTTCAAGGCAATCCGATGGGTTTTAAGATTAAACTTTTTTTTTTTTTTTTGAGATAGAGTTTCCGTCTTGTTGCCCAGTCTGGAGTGTAATGGCACCATCTTGGCTCATCGCAACCTCTGCCTCCCAGGTTCAAGTGATTTTCCTGCCTGCCTCAGCCTTCTGACTAGCTGGGATTACAGGCATGCACCACGAGGCCTGGCTAATTTCGTATTTTTAGTAGAGACGGGGTTTCTCCATGTTGGTCAGGCTGGTCTCGAACTCCTGATCTCAGGTGATCCGCCAGCCTTGGCCTCCCAAAGTGCTGGGATTACAGGCGCGAGCCACCGCGCCCGGCCGGATTAATCATTTTTAAGGCCCTCTATCATGAGCAAAGCAAACTGTGCAAACTGACCCACATGTCGGTCCAGCAATGAACCCTGACCCGCAAGGCTGAGGGGCAGCAGCGGCTGGTGACCGCTGGCTCTGGTGGTCGAAGCTATTGTCAGATCCAGTGACAGGCCCTCGGAAACCGTCCCCTGCCAGGCACTCAGAATGCCTCAGTTTGCTTCCTCTTCCATTGCCTAAAGGAGCAGGAGGAGGGCTGGGGGTGGGCAGCTGGGTTGAAGCCTCTTTGGGGCCACACCAGCTTGGGCCTCCCAGAAGCAGCCACAGACCGCAGGGTCTGCGGCTTCCCGCACATGTCTGCCTTGCTTCTTGCTGAGGGAAAGCAGTATCTTCCCAAGTGAAATTTTGCCCACAGGGAAATGGAGATTTGCAGCTTGCCTTGTAAAAATCAGAAGGGCCCAAATTCTCACCGGACAGTGATGAGCATCTGGAGGGGGCGACTCTGCGGGTTGGGAGGTGTCTGTCTCGACTGAAGAGCCCCCGCCCTCTCAATGGATCATAACGCCCTGAGCAGTGCGGCCGCTCTCAGGCGACCCAGGGGCTTCACCTCTTGAGCACACAACACATTTGATCACATGACACCGTGTCCGTGGCAGGCCAGGCCTTGGTCTTCCTACCTATGCGATGGCCCTCAGCCTTCAGGAGACGGAGGCCAGACCTACCCAAGGGCTCATGGTGAGGAACTGGGGGAGGTCAGCCGCACGGGGTCCTGGCAGAGCTGGGTGGGATGACTTGGTCTGAGCCCCACTTTTGCCCTAGGGCTGTGTAACAGGTGCTGCAAACCTGGTGGCTCAAAACAATGGAAATTCCCTTCTCCACAGTCCAGGAGGCTCAAAGGTCAAATTCAAGGTGTGGGCAGGACCTCGTTCCCTCCAAAGACTCCAGAGAAGGTCCCGTTCCTACCTCTTCCACCCCTGGTGACCACAGGTGTGCCTCGGCTTGGGACAGCAGCACCCCAGTCCCCACCCACCTTTGTCTCCACATAGCCTTCTTTCCTGTGTCTGCGCCACTGTCCAAATCCCCCTGTCCTTTTCAAATGGCCCCAGTCCCCGGATTCACAGGGCCCACCCAAAACCCCATCACAGCCATGGCTTCATTTGATGACATCGGCAAGACCCCTTTTCCCAACAAGGTCACATTCCAGGTGACAGGGCAAGGACTGAACATACCATTTTTTTTTTAGTTGGAGTCTCACTCTTGTCGCCCAGGCTGGAGTGCAATGGCGTGATCTCAGCTCACCGCAACCTCCACCTCCCAGGTTCAAGCAATTCTCCTGCCCCAGCCTCCAGAGTAGCTGGGACTACAGGCGTGCGCCGCCACGCTCGGCTAATTTTGTATTTTTGGTAGAGATGGGGTTTCACCATGTTGGCCAGGCTGGTCTGGAACTCCTGACCTCAGATGATCTGCCCGCCTCAACCTCCCAAAGTGCTGGGATTACAGGCGTGAGCCACCGTGCTCGGCATGAACACATCTTTCTGGAGAGCACACATTAACCCACTATCACGAGTGACCCAGGCCTGGCCCTTCTGGTCTCTGGGCCTTGGTTTCTTCACCTATAACCTGAGGGCCCTCCCAGCTCTGCCAGTCTTGGAGCCAAGGACGCCCTCCTTGATGTGGCTGATGGGCTCTGCCGGTAGAGAAGGCGTGAGGGGCCATTATAATAAGCATAATACGAGTTCACTTGTGTTTGCGGGGACGCTGCTGGGTGCCAGGCACTAGACATGCTGAACGCCTGCAGCACTGATCTCCCTACATCCTGGAAAGTAGGTGATATTCTTACCCCATTTTACAAACAAGCAAGCTCAGAGAGGGCTGGGCGCTCACCCAGGGCTGCACCGCGACGTTGGGGCTCCAGCCCTGGTCTGTACACCTCTCCAAGCTGGCCTCTGGGGCTTGAGTGTCCTCAGAACTCCTCCGGCTGTGGGCTCACGAGCCTGGACGTGCAGGAGGGGGAGCTGACCCCTGCCCTCTCACAGCCCTGGGGCACCACCCCGTGGAGCTGGCCCTGCTGTCCCCCCACCGCCCAGGCTCCTAACTTTAGAGGGCTTGGCGCCCCCTGACCTCCCTCCTGTCAGCAGGGCCAGCCTTGTTTCCTCCATCTGCCTCCCATTAGGGCTCTGCCACTCAGAGCCTCTGGCTCCAGCTCTCCGCTGCTCTCTCTTTTCCTTGCCTCTGCCACTCCCTGCCTGGCCCACCTCCAGGGATCTTCAGCGCAATCAGGGTTCTGGGGACAAGGACCCAGAGCTCAGCCCTGTCCCTTCCTCCTAATCCTCAGGGAGTTTGGGAGGCACTCTGACTGACCAATGTACAGAGGAGATGACCTTAATATATAAAGAACTGCTGAAAATCAACAACAAGAAGGCAAAAACACCAATAGAAACTTGGGCAAAGAACACACACAGGCAAGTCACAAAGGATGAAAAATGGTCGAAAAACAGGGATGGACGCTCGGCCTCTCCTGCTGTCCAAATATGACGGTGGGCTCCAACAGAGCCCATTACACAATAGCAGTGCTATATCATCCCATTTAGAAAAGCGTGTGTGTGTGTGTGTGTGCGTGTGTGTGCGTCTGTGTGCAGGAATCATTCCTGAAGACCCCATGCTGAGATGTTAAGAGTGGTTGTTTTGGGTGCTGGGATCTGGGAACTTTTCTTTCTACTTGGATATATTTCCTCTTTTTTCTCCAATGAGAGAGTGTCTTACCTGAGACTCACTAATAAAACACTGTGTAAGCCCAGGGCAGAGAATCAGGCCCTGACACTCTCCCGGGTTGAAGGCAGACCCTGAACAGCAGCACGGGGCCCAGGCCTGTCCAGAAACCCTCCTTCCTTCCCAGCCCGTGGAGTGACAGCCTCCTCCTTGGCCTCGACTCGCAACTCACTCACTTGCCTCCCGAGTGGCCATGAGTCCGCCCGCCTGCCCAGGCTGGCTGCAGGAATGGCCAATCGCCAGCAACTGTGGCCTCTGCCTGAGTGTGTCCCGGTCCCATGCATTCAGTAAGAAGCTCAACATGTCTCACCCGCTCATCGCGACACCCCAGGAAGTGACCCCAG